TGGCTAAACCTCTAATTCAAAATTGTTAAACTGATATTAATATTCCAATACAATACGAAAATCAAGTTTAGTTTACATCATATATAACGAATGTTCCCGCACATAGTGCGGGTGAGAATCTAGTAGAAGTTATAAAAACATCAACCTTTTAGATACAAATTTTTTTTCTAGAACATCAACTATTTGAAAATGGAGAGAGTAGTCTTTAAGAGTAAAGTTTATAAAAAATCATGTATCTTTTGATTGTTGAAAAAATTGATGAAACTATTATTTTTAGGCTTCTTCAGTTGTCGAAGACAATATTCAAGAAGATAACCACATCATATACTGTTAATTAAATTCATAAAACAAAGAAAAAACAATAAAATCCAATTCAAGTAACATAATACTTCCTCGTTCGCCCTAGGAGACTCTTCTAGATCCGGTAACTTTCCTCAGCTGGAGCGTGGGACTTACCCTTCTTTGCCTCTGGAAGCCGAGATTTTTCATGGGTGGGCTGGACCCATAACATTTCTTCACAGTGGGCTTTGCTGGATAGGCCCATTTTGGCTGAATTGGGCTAGGTCCAGAAGAAACTTCAAAGATTGGGCTATTTAGATTAATTGGTCTATTCCTAATTGTTTTAAAATGGAGATTTTCACAAATCTTATTAGCTTTTGAGCTTAGTGAATTCTTTTTTTTTTAAATGAATAAAGTTTTCTGGATTCTCAAATCATATAGTTTTTATTGAAGATATCTCCTCTAAGAGAATACATCAGTTTTCTGAATTCTCAAATTCTGTAATTTCCTCCCGATGGAAGAGTCCGTTTCCACTTTCTTCCATCTCTCTGAGCATGGTAATATCTTCTTCCCTCTCATGGAGAGTGGTCGACATCTCCTACTTTATGCCGAGAACTTCAAAGTCACATGGTAAAGTGATTAACCTGAGAATCTCCTGCATTGCCGCGAAGACCCTCTTGACGCATCTGAGGCATGCTTTGGATCTGCTGTCTATCATCTTCTGTGATGATTTCTTGGCTCTGTATTTTATTGTATTTCAATTATGTTGTAGTATTGTGGAAGGATGTTTAATTCCCTCCCTTTGTACTTTGATCGGTTAAATGATTGAAGAAACATTATTGACCAAAAAAAAAAACGAGAGACAAATGAAAAAAAAGAAGGATTAAATCTTTAAAAACAT